TGATTTTGAACGATTTTGCGACGTCCACCTCATGACCCGTGTCAAGGAGATGCCTGTCGATGGCATTCTTTAAAGCAATGTGTTCTCTTGAAACAAAGGGTTTTTGGTACATGTTCAGAAAATTGTAGATATGCCCTTCTTCTTTCTGTTCTTCCAATGTAACTGCCCCCACAGATACACGTAAATTTGTAAATACAGTTGGAGTTAACATATCATAATCATGCTAACCATTTCGGTTCCAAATTTTCATTACATAATCAAGTGAGGTATAAGTAACTTCATGAACTGATGTGGAAGGGGTAGAGCCTAAATTTTCTAGTAAAAAAACAGCAAAATTCGATACTTTTATTGATTTCATCGATTAATTACTATTGTTATTTAATTATTCACTTATTTATTCATTCTTTTCATAGTTCATCCAATGGTATTACAACTCAAAGGTGATACAAAAATCACCTATCTGACAACGCCTACAAAGATCACTTGTTCATTGAATGGGAGTAATTCTTTTACTCCTCTATTATACTGGGATATCTTACATGGTCCAATGAAATGTATTCATACTGCTGGTAGACATTTAAAAATCATACCACAAAATGCATGTTATGGTGTTATACTCGCTAGATGTTATGCATTCTATGAAAATATATTTATATCTTTTATAGAATATAAAAATATTCTATTGCGTAAGTTCCCTATTTCACAAGTCATCTATCTATTGGTCATCTCAGTGCAATCTCGTCATCTTTAAATTTTAAGCAGATGAATACAGACTGTCATTGGGGTATTATTATTATTGTTTCCTTTAATTCCTAGAGGAACATACGGCTTCAGCCGTGCGTCTCCATTGCGTTCTGTTCTCTGCCAGAGTCTTAACCTGGCTCCATGTCTGCCCACACGTTTTCACCTCCTCTTCACATGACCTCCTCCAAGTCACCCTTGCACTGACGACCAACTCGCCGCTTCATTTTCGAGTTCCACTCGAGCAATGGCTTGTCTAGTGATGTCACTCACTTGATGGTTTCCTCAGAGTATGGCCAGCCAATCCATCTCCATTTCTTCCTGCCTATTTGTTTCACAATCGGTTCCTGGTTGGTTATTGGGGTACTTTCTATTAAGTTTGTTTGCATTCTTTCTAAATATGTCGTTAAATCTTTTTGTGGATATCCTTTGTCTTGTAGACATTTTCTTAGGATCTGGAGCTGCTGCTCCTACTCCTCCGAGTACTCAATGAAGTAATAATGTTTTGAATAATCCCATTTGTATAGTTAACTTCATTTGTTTTATGTTTGAATACGGATTGATATCATTTAGAGAACTATTGAAAACCAGTACTTGAGTACTTCGAACCTCTTTCGTCAGCCTAGTCTGAAACTCATCCGTAGTACGCATTTACCCCACCTGGGTTCAAACCCAGGACCTTGTGAATACAAGTCAAGCTAGCTCATAGATCATTCAGCCACTGGAACCCTATTCCTCAATAGCCAGCCTATGATTACTTTTGGAGCGACTGTCACTAGACAATGTGTCATATGTGACGAGAATTTTTCATCACTTCCGACCCGTTTGACCTCACTTCTCACTATAACTCCAGGCAACTCATTAAAAATGATTCTGATATTCGCCACTGACTAACTACAAGACGACATTGACTCCAGTTCTAGTGAGAAGTCGTGACCACTCGGATGCTCTAGGTGGTCATGAGTGAGGACAAATACTCGACAGCGGTGACATTGGCTGGTGCCAGTAGCACTAAAATCATGAATTCTTAGAAGCTAGAATTCATGGCCTGGCCATTGAGGAGTCGAGTCCCAGTGACTGAATAGTCTGCAAGCTTGGCTTGTAACCAGAAGGTTGTGGTTTCAAACCCTGTCAGCAGAGTGGGCGAATACTGCCGCTGAGTTTGGAAATAGATTGATGAAACAGCTAGGTGTCCAGTACTCGAGTGCTGGTTTTCAACGGTTTTCTAACTGATATGAATTTGCGATCAAACTTGAAATAATGATTTGAAAATACTTGAGGTAATATCCAGCAGCAAACATGTACATTGATTTCCACTAGATGAACAACTTATTTATAGAATTTAATATGGACTGTGTGGATGGCTGCTGCATATGATTGACCAGTATTTCATAATCAGCTGTGTCACTGGTCAATATATTCGTCGAAATTACATTTTGAAGGCATTGTATTGATATTGGATGGTTGAAGGCAGTCGACAGGGAACCCCACCTGACCAAGGTTTCTTGATTGTTAACACTCATCACTTAGCAAGGCGTATCTGTAATCCTTAAGGAACTCATGATCCTTCCGAGATTTGAATCTATGCCACTTACTGCTGCAGTCAGAGACTTCACTTCTGAGCTATTAGGGCACACAATTGACCTTCTGTAGGACTGAGTGACAAAGTTTCGAGCCTCAGAAGGGACATGAGTTCTTTACGAATTGCAGATACACCTTACTGACTGTCTGGTGAGCGCCAACAAGCACGGAACCTCGGTCAGGTAGGGCTTCATTCCAGTTACCTCCAACCATCTAATATCAACAGTTCACTGTCCATCGTTATGGCAAGCCACATTGCCAAAGTGACTGACAGAATTCAGTCTGCGCCAAACAAAGGACTAGACGTATAACACTTGTTAGCGTCCAATCAAAACATTCTGTTGTAGTCAGATGAACTTCCATCAGTTTCTAACAAATATCCATTAGGACATATAGAAAGTTGAAACAAGTAATTCAACGGAAAGACCATTCCCATTGAATTTATTATCAAGCTATACGACTGTACACAAATGATTTCAGTTTAATGATCATGAAAAATTGTTATGACTGGAACTACGATCTAGTAGACTATGAGCGAATACTAATTCAATGAGCTGACTAATCTCTCCTTACAACACGTCGAGAGCAACAACAATAATAACACCGCCACCATGTAAAGACGAAAGAAAAGACTGAACGTCTATAAGAGAGCTTTTACTGTCTCAAACAACAGTCAAAATGCTAGACGGAAACCCTGGATATATACAGTTAGAATGGCCCTAAAATGCAGTAATTTAGTGATACGTTAAAAGTATTTACAGCCAATAAGAACCTAGCAATCCAAACAGAGGGGAAAACAAAGCGCTCATGACAGTGCACGATAACCCCTTAAAACAGTTATTTTAAGCTTTTAGAGATGTATAAAGGTGACGATTGAGATAATAATAATGATAAAGTGAAAATAATCACAATCGGATCTGCGGTAACTGAAAAGTTTAAAAACTGGCCTTGTAACCAGAAGCTCCTGGATCCGAAGCCCATCGGATGCATAGTACTGATGATTTGCAAACTAAGACGATACAGCTGTCCAGTAATCCTTGACTTTCTTTTTTTCTCTAACTAATAGCAGCTCATGGTCAAGCCTACAAATAGTGATAACAATCGAAATAATAGATGATGGATATGCAGACTGAGTAAACAAAACGGAAGATTAATAGGGCTGAGGTTGAAATGATGATTATAATAGTCTAGGATAGATCGATTAAGACCGTGAAAAAGCAGTGGATGAACAAACTGTTTTTGTATACAAACGTCCGATTTTTCTGTTTTGAAGTTCACAGCTTCAACAGTACACGTGAGTCGGACAAGCATTGGTCTTGGAAGGTTATTTTTTGCATTATTATGGATAACTTTAAGGGAAGAGGATTTCATCATGAACTGACATCGGTTAGAGGATGACTGTAAGACCTGGGAGTACTTGACAGCTGTTTCGTCAGCCTAGCTTGGGACTCTTCATCAGTACGCACCACCCAACAGTGGTATGAACCCAGGACCTTCTGGTTACAAGGCGAGCTCGAGGACCATTAAACCACTGGAATCCGATCCAGTGGCCAGTCCATGAATTGCAACTTCTGCTAATTCAAGATATGGCTTGGTAGATGGTGGATATCATCGCTGGCGTGTATTTGTCCTCACACCCAACTTGCTGTACCCGATTGGTCATGGCCTTCAAGCATTTGATTGGTTTTAGGATTTCATCATAAACTGGAACCATTTAGCGGACGACTGGAATACCTGGGAATAGGGAGAGGTTGTAGAGATAATGTGATCAGCATCTGCCGGATTATTGACCCACTTCAGCCTTTTTGTAGGCTCAATACATAGTGTTCTTACATTCTTTTGGACAATGCCGGCTCTGAACTACCAATATACCGAAATCTTACAGGAGCGCATAAACTGGTAAACAAACACAAAGATGATCAACTGTGTTTGGGTCCACAGCGGTGAACTTTTCCTGAAAATCTTGCTTTATTTTCCAAGTGTGTGCATTCTTAAATTCTTTTTTTCTAATATGAATTAGAATCAGAAAGATGAGCTTATATTCCTTTTTTGTTCTTATTTCTTTATTTGAACCTCTTTTGTAAAACAATAACCAAATTGAACAGCTATACATCCACAGCTTTCTTTGTCTGTTGAACCTATGAGACGATTCTTGTTCACTGGAGAATCCATCACTCTGAAGGTGATTTTAGAACCACGTGATCAACTATCTGATGATTTAATTCATGCTATAATGCGTCATGCTAATATTACTGTATTGCATAATGGTAATATAGTTTATCAACAAATATATATTGATGGCAAGAATGGCAACACAGAGAATAATAGTAGTATTACTAATGAAATGAGTAATATAAAGCTAACCATACCTTCATCAGCCAACAGAAATCAAATGGATAAAAGTATACAGAAAATTGTTCTACACTTGGAGTTGTTTGAATCTTCATATGTTGCATCAACTGAGCATGAAATACGAATTATAGGTAAGTCAGTCATGGCCTATTGCAGACCATATGTATGTCATGGTGATTATTATTCTCGTTGTTCCCTTGGGTTCCGTGTTCAACATAGGGCTTAAACAGCATATCTCCAGTTCATCCTATTCTCTGCCATCCTCATAATCTGAAATCGCGATTTTCCATAGCCTCTCTATCCCCTTCTCACATGATCCCCCCATGTCACTCTCTGACCCACGCCCAACTCGTCGTTTCCCATTTGTGTTCCAATCGACCGATGTCCTGCACTGATAGCAATGTCACCCGACGGTCTCCTCAGTGGCGTGTATCCCATCCATCTCCATCTCCTCTTACATGTTTGTTGAACAGTAGGTTTGTGGTTGGTTTCTTCCCAGAGTTTCTGGTTTCTGGTTCTTTCTAACTGGTCAGGTGATCTTCAGTATGGGGCGAAGGTAGCTGATGATAGAAACCTTGGGAAGGATTTTCGTGACGCGCTGGCCAAGTTTCTGACCCATTTAGAGGAGGTGACTGACTGGCTTAACATTGGTGTTAAAAGTCCGAATCCTATTCTTCGAGCTGGTTGAGTGTGCAGGATTTCAACTCTGATTTCAGAGTGATGAATGTCCATCTTGCCTTTCCGACCTTGGCTGGTTCTGATATCGTTATCCTTTCCGACTGACTGTAGTTGAAACGACGACTCCTAGATAAGTGAAGGAAGTGACCTCTTTCAAATCTCTCCCATTGATAGTGAATGATGCTGGTTGCTTTTATTGGTGTTGTTGGTTGGTTAACTTCATCACCTTAGTCTTCTCTATGTTCGCTTGGAATCCTGTCTTTGCTGCACTGCTTCTATTGCCAGTTTGTCGGTTTTTGTCTGTAGGTCTTCGAGTTTGTGTGACAATAGACAAAAACCATGCGTGAAATCCAGATCTTCTTGAGTCTTTTTATCGGCGCAGAATATTCCTATTTTCTTGCTATCATGCACAGTCTAACACATTATCCAGTTTACCACGATTAGGAATGTTATCGGTGATAATAGGCAGGTAGCTTTGTCTTACTATTGTATCAACTTCAAAGTCTTCGCTGAGTTTACTGTTGTGGATCACTTGGCATGTGACAGTGTCGTATATCTTTTAAATGAGGTTGACAAAGATTTGGGGCACGCCGTGGTGTTGAGACAGTTTCCGAGTCACCTTGTGGTCAGCACCGTCGGATGCATTTTCGAAGTCTTTGAAGTTGAGGTACAGGTTTGACTCCAATCCTATGCTTTGTTCAATGATGATGCGTAGAATCATAACTTGATCAGCACATTATTTGCCTTTTCTGAATCCAGATGGTTCTGGGTTGGCGGAGTTCTGCATCCATTTCATGTTTTATTCTCGCCAGCATGACGCGTCTTAATATTTTACTCTGCGTGTACAACGAAGTGACTGAGCTGCAGTCATTTCAGAGGCCTAAATCGCCCTTCTTTGGTAACTTGACGAGATAACTTTTTTTCCAATCAGTAGGTATATTTCCTTCCTTCCAAACTTTCCTCTGTGATGGCGTGAACATATCCGCTAAGGTTTCTTGATCCGTCTTCATCGCTTCAGGTGGAATTCCGTCCTGTGGTAACGCCTTCCCGAACTTCAGTAACCTGATTGCATTCAAGATTTCTATTTTTGTCCCAGCATCAGTATCATTTATAGTTAGTACCATTTATTTTGTTTTGTCGGGAAAACAGAAAATTGGACGTCAATGATAAAAGATTTAACACTAACCAGTAGGTTTTCAGCTTATCGCATCTCACATCTACGCAACATGTTTAAAATTATAAAAAAGGAATACAAGGAAAGATAAAATAAAGTACCTAATGAAAGTAGAATGTCTCAATAATAAAATGAGATAAGACAAACTTAATGTAGAAGTGTAGTATGTAGTCAATGCAGTGAATGAGGTCGTTTCTAGACGACTATGCATTTTAGACTTGCCAACCACAAGTTCCAGAGGTAACGCGCGTAACAACCGGGCAGTTTATACTCCATCTATTGGCTGAGACCAGTATTGATTGAGTTTATATCACATCACGATTTATTGACCTTTTAATTTCCTCCAACCTAACTCACATTTATCCAAACTAGGAAAATCCAAGATTAAATAGATATAATAAGAAGTGTAATGGTAGTAGATTTATAATCTACAGGTCCAAAAGCCTGTCGCAGACCCTTATCAACAACTGTCTCCGCTCTGTACTGAAGATCAGATGGCCGGAAAGAATCATCAACAAGAAACTATGGGAACAAACAAAACAAGAATCAATCGCTCAACAAATATGCAGGAGAAAGTGGAGATGGATTGGACACTCGCTGAGGAGGCCGCTGGGTGACATCGCGCGTCAGGCCAATGCTCGAGTGGAACCCGAAAGGGAAGCGGCGAGTGGGACGTCCAAGGGAGACATGGAGGAGATCGTGTGAAGAAGAGTTGAAACAGTATGGATTAACATGGACGCAGGTGAAAAGTACAGCAGAAGACAGAAACAAGTGGAGACGTGTGGTTGAAGTCCTATGTTCCACTAGGAACCCAAGGGAACAATAATAATAATGATAGTAGATTTATCCTTAAACAACGTTTATATAATTTACAGAAGTTTCAGTGGAGTTTATTACATAATATTCTCTCTTCGTCTAGGATCTTTAAACAAAAGATTCAGTGACCAACAGCAGATCGTGGGAAACAATTCTACCTTACCCGAAGCTCAAACCAACCCAATATGATGATATCTCTCCTTTGCCTGTTTCGAAAAATGCATAACAACATTTTGTTGAATGCTAGTTATAAAATTTCAGAAGTACATTTTTTGAACCAAGGAAACAATTCAGGAACGGCTATCTCGTGTACTGAGAAAAGCTGACATCCAGGATGATTGTTTTTCTCATGTTTAGTAAAAACTAACGAGACCTCAGGTTGCAAACGCTTTAAATACTCGCCAGAGTAAACAACACTATTAGAGGTCATGTTATACTAGATTTAAACGAATTGAATGAAAGAAATTATATGCAGCGTAGTGATGGATGCTGTTTTTGGTAGTCTAAGTTTTAAGTAGGCCGCCTCAAGTAATAATGCCGATACTTCTAGATAACTGTGATTTTTCATTCACCAGTTAAATGCACGAAGGGTCAATTTTTCTTCAGATTAAAATGTCAGAACTGTTAGAAAAGTCTGTGATATTTGGTAAGAATAAAAAAGTAAATGCGGAAAAAGCATCACCCTGTAAACTTTTAAGTGATATTCACCGTAAGAGAAGTGAGAAACTTTGGAAATCAGGAGGTATTGCATAGGACTGTTTTCTTATTGAAGTACACATAAAAATTCAGGAACATCGTTTCTTGTAGAGTGCTGAGCAGTGTGTGTGTTCCGCCAGTAGACGTTTTACCCCACCTTAACATCTAGGATGGCATAACATTTTTATGTTAGATGGTTAGTGTCAATTGTTAGGAAGCCTTTGACCTAGGTTTCGTGTTTGTTGAGACCCGTCATCAGGACTCACTTGCAACCTTGAAGGAACTGATGTCCATTGGGAGACTCAAACATAAGTGGTGTTAACCACATAACACCTTTCCACAAAAAGAAGAGCAACACCGTCCTTAACTTGGTCAAAAAACGCCTGACACATAAAATAGGTATCTACAAAATCTCTGAGCGCCCCAACTTTTCAATCCGAACACAAAACCTTTATTTAAGAAAGAAATAACTAAACATGTATCTTAGGTTGACAATGACATGTTCTCAGGAAGCTTGGCACAAAATCCAACCAGCTGTAGAAACAGTAGTAAGGGCTGTTGATAACCTGCGACCAAAGATTATTGAGCCCCAGTGGATTTTTCCTATCTCATCCAAACTGATAGATGCAAGCCGACTGATTCCTATGGGTCCGGAAAATGATAAGAGGCGAAAGCTGCTCAAATGTAAGCTAAGTAAAAGTATCCGCAACAACAGAGATCAGTGGTAGGCAAAAAGAATGGGAGAGATAGAAAAAGTATCCGTTGTATTAAGTACCACCATAGTGGAAACAGATTATAAAGACCAATGAATTCATAACTAGATTAGTTAAGATAATAGGTAATGTAAAGAAATCAGAGATAGCTCCCGCTGGATCAACGTAAATCATTGATGATCCCAGTTTATAAGAATAATGGTAGTCCTCTCGTACTACTCATAGGAAATTTAGCTTGACTAGGTTCAGCTAACATGCGTCAACCATACTTTCCTCGTGAGAAGCAAATCAGTCAACACCAGCAGGCTTTACATCCATTGTTGCTTGATTTCATCAAGGGTTTAGTAATCGATTGGAATCTAATCAAATTTAGTGAATTGCGGGTTGAATTGTTACCAGGTAAGTGTCTCGTTTATCTACAGTATACAGACAGTGAAGTTGTTCTAGTTGAAGACGCTGAAAAAGTGCAGTCTTCTCTACACTCTGATCGTAAATCTTGTTGTGTTTTGCACACGACTTCCACCCCCCTCCAACAGTCGGACGTAAGATAATACTGAGGAACTAGTATCACCAGCCTGTGGTCAAAAGATAAGAAGTGAAATGGTTGAACATGTTGATTACTTCACTCGTTTAGGAGGTTGCATCAGCCGAAATCAACTGCTTGCTGTCAAAATCTCAGGAAAGATGCGAATCGCCTGTGTGGCCTTCGCCAACTTACATCACTGCTGTCATAAGTGTGATTTCCGGCTATGGATCAGAGGACGTGTGCACCATCCGTCCTTCTTTACGGCTGTGAGGCGTAGCTGCTGAAAGTGTAAGATATTAACAGGTGAGCTCCATGTGACCAGAGGTTTTTGTGTTCTGTCTCCAGCCTTAAGCGGTATAATATGATGAGTAGTATAAAGGAGTCTGTGAGGCTCCGAAGCTTCATCAATTGAGATGACTAGAACAGGTGTTACGCATACTGAGCCTCTGCATTCCTCATTGAGCAATGCTGGTGCACACAGGAATGGAATGGAAAAGAGTCATGTGTGGTCAGATCAAAAGATGACATCAATCCACAAGAATTTATTAACCCTTAGTTTAAATCACTGGTGAGGTGAGCTCTTCAAGATTCTAGTAACGAATGGCTTGAAGCGATCAACATTGACTAAAAATTGTAGGTGAACTGTCTCAGAATATATCTCAGAAGTGCAGACTCATTCAATCACCATCGACTCCTAAATTCACCGAGTCCTCACTATTCTTCATGTAATTATTTTTTTCTTCTACGCATTTCCATTCGTCATAGTTTCTATGAATTTCGCCCTTCCAAGTGCGACAACTTGAAACGCTGCATATTTGTGCAAATTTCTACGTTGAAAACTGACTTTCACTCACTCATCTACATCTTTTTCAAAAGAATTGATCTATAAAATGCATTTTATAGAGTTACACATACTTCTCTTTTTGATGTAGTTGTGTTCTCTGAGCTGGTGGATGGTTTATTTGTGAAGCTTTCATTGCCCTACTTACTAGGCAAAATCTTCAGCGCATACTTCAATTCGATGAAGTGAGCCTTTCGATTTCTTCACGAGTTTATAAGTCATCTCTCCTGGTGGGTGACCTTGAACGTGATTGGTTGTTTTTGTGTGTTTTAGCACACTTTAGGCTACTTGCATTGGTACTGATCAGTAGGGTAATGAAAGCTTCGCAAATAAACCATCCAGCTCAGGGTACACAACTACATCAAAATCATCCACCTGAACTGCAGATTTTCTCCATTATATCTGCATACTTCACTGTTCCATCTTACATGTATTTTTCAAAATTTATCCCGTATCATTCAAAAAAATAAAATAGATCGTCCGAAAATGTTATTTCCTGCCAGTGGACAGTGTTCAATCGGAAAGCAGTTTTCACCAAATAGTTGGTCTACAGTAAGTCTAATTGATGGTTACGACGTCTCTGACATTTTCTCTGAACAAATTACATGGCCATATAGTATGGAACGTAATAAAGGAATATACCAGTGTGTTCATCATCTCAAAGAAGCTAAACTTCATGCCAAATTTACTCGACAAAATACTTACGGTAAGATTAAAGGTTTTTTTAAAAAAGTAACTGGTCTTATTCAAGAATGTTTTAGAAATTTTAATTTACTTTAAACTTTCTCATTGATCGATGAATGGAGTGAAGTGCTCGCCTTCAAGTTGATGTGTTGACTCCTCCTTGTGTGGATACCTCGACTATGTCTGAGGATTCCACTTGAAGTTATTTAGGGGTTTTTGACTAACAGTGGAATTCAGGACGACGTGCGCTTCGTCCTGCTTGGGACTCATCATCTGGATGTAGCTTCATTCACCAGTGAGTGATGGTGTTCCCAATGAAGCTCGAACCAAGTACCAATCGTTTCGAACGCCAGCGCGTTATCCCCTTGACCACTTGGCCATCCTAGATCCCCCTGTTAGTCATTAACCACTGAATTAAAGTTTTAGAAAGTTTAAAATCAAAGACATTTAGAAAATATTTGAATATTCATAAGATTCGTCTAAATCCTACGTGAAAGACTTTTGTCAAACATTCTATATCAGAGCTTGAATTTTAGAGAACATAACGCCTAACTCAGTCGATACACTGAGGTTATGCTTGAAAATAATAAAGAATTTGCACCAGAAGTGTATTAGGTCATGTCCTTACACTTTGGAAAAGCGTATGAAAGGATGCCATAAGTAGGACACGTTATTATAGAAGAAAGTAAAATCTACCGAAAATTAGTAAGAATATCAGTTGTTTCATTGATAAACACAAATAAGACAGCGTCTTTCAGGTCAGATATATAGGTCAAAGTAGTAAAACAGGGACAGTCATACTAACCGAACATAAAAACTCTAGCAAAATCTAGATTGGTTGACCCGAATAAGCACTCAGTACATGCAATTGCACACAACCATACAAGAGGATGGGATGAGATAAGATGACAGTTTTAAAATCTAATGTCACAGGTTGGAGGGAGAGATTGATAACGGAAGCTTTGTTTATCGAATCAACTGAGGAGAGTACGTCTAATAGGAATGATTTAACACCTGTCCACCCGGATATCTGGAAAATCCTACCACCCCTGCGACAAATAGGAGAGAACAAAGAAAACTATGAAAATGAAGTTTCGAAGTTGTGTGAATATAATTGGTGATGTGATTATGAACAATAAATTGTGTTAGAAGCGTCATCCAGTAAATAATACTGTTTCACTGACTGTGTGATATATCTATTAAACAAACTAATATGAGATGCACACCTACGCATACCCAATTAAATTAGTTTATTTGACCACTGAACTAACGTAATATTGTGTTTTAAAAGTTTGCATTTATATATATATATATGATGTATTTTCGAGCAATACACTTGTTCTTACTGCCACAGGCAAGTCTGTCTTCGGCTTTTTTCCTAGCTTAATGAAGCGGAAAGTATCTGTGTGAGAACAGTTTTGTTTTCATTGAGTATTCAGTGGGAATCGCTTAATAGTCTTCAGTCTCCTTATCTTCCCATGTATTGGTCCAATTGATCACTAGATTGACAGCAGAATATCAATTCATATATGTGTAAAACTTGGGCACTGTGGTAGTAAGTAATTCCATATTAGTTTGTTTATTTGATATATCACACAGTGAAACAGTATTATTTACTTATCCAGTAAATAATACTGTTTCACTGTGTGATATATCAAATAAACAAACTAATATGGAAGAATATCAATTCTGCTGTAAACTGATACTGAAATAAATGATAGAGAAGATTTATATCAGACTTAGACGGATGTTTGTGGTGATCAAAGTGCATTGTAATAGACAAATTGTTTGGAAAATCCCTCCTCACCAATCTATTTTTAACATTTATATTCATTTAGACGTTTCAACTAGATTTGTAAACACCATACGTCTTTCCCCTAGACTGTGTATCATTAATTTGATATTTGCATAGCAGATGTTGATTTTCGACTTTTATTACTTGCCTCTGTTCTTGATCAATATTTAATTGTAATACTTCTCTTTGTGGTTGTGTGCATACTGACAATGTGTTTATTGTTTAACAATATAAGTTTGTTTGAGTGGATGAAGCTGATTCCGACCCGCGACTGTCTGCAGGAAACGTTGTGGTTGGGAATATTCTCCTCCTCCTCCTCCCCCCTCGATTCTAAGCAACCTTTTACAGTTGAATTTTGGTTAATCAGTTTTGTTACTGATAATAACAAAACAAACCACCAAAGAAAGGAGACTTAAGTCATTGCAAGAACTAGTGCGGCATTATGCTCCTGTCTATCCCAAGCAAAATATTGAGCCACATCATCCTGGAGAGAATCAAACACATCCTGGATAAAATACTTCGACCGGAACACGCTGGATTCAGAAGAAACAAGTCATGTATTGATCAAATCACCACACTACGAATCATCATTGAACAGAGCTTCGACTTTGAAAAGGTCTTCGACAGCATCGATCGAGCGGGGACTCGGCAATAACTTTGCTACTACGGTGTGCCACCGACAATTATACATCTCATCCAACAGCTGTACGACAATGCTGCATGCCAAGTAATCCACAACAGGGAACTTACAGAATCCTTCGAAGTAAAGACGGGAGTAAGAGAAGGCTGCCTACTATCGCCAATGATTTTCTTGATTGCAGTAGACTGGATAATGAGACAAACACTGGGCAGCCAGGAAACAGACATAAAATGGACACACACAAAAAACTTGGAGGATCTGGACTTCGCCGATGATATATGTCTGATTTCCCACAAACTGGAAGATATGCAAGTGAAAAGCAACAAGTTGGCAGAAGAAGCATCCAGAGAAGATAGGACTTCAGGCGAACAACGAGAAAACAGAGGTGATGAAGATTCCTGGGCAACCCCACCAACAGCAACAACGGCAACAGACAACAATCAGCATAAATGGGAGGAACCTGAAGGAGACAACCTCTTTTACCTGCCTTGGAAGCATCGTTTCAACTACAGGCGGAACTGACGAGGATATCAAAACAAGAATCGGAAAAGCAAGACAAGCTTTCACTACTCCCAAGTCTGTGTGGAGGTCAACAGCACTCAGCATGAAAATGAAAATAAGATCCGGATTTTCAACTACAATGTGAAGTCAGTGCTACTATACGGATCAGAGACTTGCACTGTGCGTCATAAAGAGCATCTCAAACAAACTACAAACCTTCATCAACAGTTGTCTTCGCTCAATACCACTCAAGATCAGATGGCCAGAAAAGATCAGCAACAGGGATCTTTGGCGATGAGCGAACCAACCAGGAACCGATTGTGCAACAAATAAGCAGGAAGAAATGGAGGTGGATTGGCCATAGTCTGAGGAAACAATGCATCAAGTGACATCACTAGACAAGCCCTTGAGTGGAACCTGAAAGGGAAGCGGCGAGTTGTTCGTCCAAGGGTGACCTGGAGGAGGTCATGTGAAGAGGAGATGAAAGCATGTGGGCAGACCTGGAGCCAGGTGGAAACTAGCAGAGAACCGAACGCAGTGGAGACGTGTAGCTGAAGCCCTATGTTCCTCTAGGAATTAAAGGAAATAATAATAATAAATAATGATATATATATTCCTTTATATTCTCAGAGGCTTCAAGCTAGAGCTTTAATGGAGATGCTAGCCTTACTCCCAACCTTCCCTCTTTACTAGTCTAATTTAATGGATTAGCGAGCGAAGTCCCTCCGTCGGCAGGGTATCGAGCCCCAGACCACATCAGGTGTGGCTGGCAAGTATTCTACCACTGTGCCACAGACACCCGTCGTGCATATATAAAAACACACTAAATAACTGTACAACTAACTTTAAAGGGAAGTTATCAAAGGCAAGGATTTCTTTTTGTTGACTCATGTATTTTCTTAATTACATGAAATGGGAATTTTTTAATTCATGTTGCCAAGCTATTCAAAAGACTGGGGATTATGATTGAACTAGTATTTGGACGCATGAATTGTTTTTATTTAATTTTCTATTTCTAGTTCATTGGTTATATTAGAGTGAAATGTTAGGTTTCTGTTGACGAGTCAGCTCTTAGTGCAGATATTTCCATGATTTCTGAAGATTTACATACATATAGTGATATAAGAATGAACTTTGAGCACTGTGGTAGAGTATAATTCCATCATGAATAAAAATCTTATTTTGATAAAGTCACACAGCATTCTACAAAATATATACTGATGACAACGTTTCAAGCGCAATTTATTACTGCCAGTCATAATCATATCAACGTACTCATATAACTACCATGAGTAAAAACTGATTAGACATTCGAATAAAATCAATATCGGATAAAGTACATTCAGAAATAATAATATTAGTGTTATCTGTCAAATACAATCAGATGGGAAATAAGATTTTCACGAGTTGATCACGGATTTATATCAGTTAGAGAAGCATAGAAAACCAGGGAGTACCGGACATCTGTTTCATCCTAGTTTGGGAATCATCGGCAGTACGCACACACCACCATAGTTCGAACCCAGGACCTTCCGGTTACAAGGCAAGCTGGCTCGTATAGCATTCAGCCACTGGGACCCGATTCAATGGCCAGTCCATGAATTATAACTTCTACCAATTCGTGATTTAGCGCGACCCCAACCAATGTCGTTGGTGGGACATCCATCCTCACACGTGACATCTGGATGAACCTCACTGGTCACGACTTCTCACTAGAACTTCAAGAAACTCAGTCCTGTAGCAAGTCACTGTCAGACATCAGATTAATTTTCTATAGTTGGTTTTTGTAAGGATGAAAAAGCTGTCCAGTACTCCCTGGTTTTCAATGGTTCTCTAAATGATATGAATTCGTGATCAACTGGTAAAATAAAACTAACCTTTACAAAAACCAACTATAGAAAAAGGGAAATAAGATGTGTTTTACAGTAAAAATAAGTGACTTGTTAGAATGTTATAATGTGAATTGAATACATTTTAACATTATTTATTGTCCTCTGATTTGACTGGTAATAATATCTCCCACATCTCTGGTATTTACATTGAGTCACTCCTGTTGCATGTGTTGGGTTGCACACTGGATGAACCAGAATTCAGTAATCAATCTCTCTCGCTCTTCAGCTACCCATATTACATTTTAGAATTTTGACTGTGTCCCACCCACCGTATTGTTTAGTTATGTGTTAATGTATGCAGTGTGATTGCTGAGCTGTTTACTGAATTTCTTATCTTCTTGGGATCAATCACTCTAACCTTAGCTTAATTCTTATGTTCTGATAATCTGACTACTCCCGATGTACTAGTTTGACCTATGTAGTTGATCTAACTCACAGCCATTGCGACGCATTTTGTAAATTATATTATTTTGTTTATTTGGATCCACCGGGTCCTTTTACCTACAGAGCTTGTTTTATTCGGTAGATGGTAACTAGCAGTGGAATGCACGGCACGCGCTTCATCCAGCATGAGATTTGTTAGCTGGATGCACCTATAATCCACAGTGAGTGACAGTGTCTCCACAGAAAGTCGAATTTAAGCGTCATCCATCTAGTCAATATTGAACTGTTGATGGTTTTTACTACACCTTTACTCAGTCATACTGGGAGATGTTGTTGAGCGAGTACAAAAAATCAAGTTCCTAGAGCGATGGCCAATATAACTCGCTCCACTACAAGTGCAGTTGAATGGGTAGATACAAATAGAAATGGCTAGCTAGTCTAGGTGCTTCATCTTTCAATTGGGAAGTCACTATCGGTTGTCTAGAAAATAAGATTTGTAGTTTACCAGCAATAAAAGTTCTTTGAACCGATTTTCTTAATTTCTTCGTAATTATTTCACTCGGTATATCGCCCTTGAATTGCAGTCATATATATAAAGGCTTTTTGTTTACAGATACTGAGTAATCCTTTTTCAACTTTCTTAGTCATATATTTTCTGATGAATTTGTCCGGATAACCAGTGTATCATATATAGTCCTTAATTCATCTACAGTTACTTCTTCTAAGCATATAGCTTTTAACCTGTGGCTAAGAGTCTTTACTAAATTTCGTTTCTACTGGAGAGGAACGAAGCTATGAGAATGTGTGTGTATTGTCCTGTCCATGTACTTTTTCTAAGCAAATTTCTTTATATGCTACCACCTGGTTTTCTTGTAAGGAGGATATCCAGGAAGGCAATTCTATTTCGGGATTTCTCTTTGCACGTGAATTTCATAGGAAAGTGGACATCATTGAATTCAATTATTATTACATTCCTATCCGAAACACTATCACAAGGTATAAAGGTGTCATGCATATATCGGCAATAAAATGAGAACTTTCTGATAAGGGTGTTCAGAGGCCCACTTTCTAGTTTATTTAGAAAGAAATCTGCCAAAATGGGACTCAGTGGGGAGCCCACCTCCACTCCGTCTACTTGTGTGTTAAGTGTGACATCAAATTACAAATTTATATTCATGGTACACCTCAATTACATTTATTTTGGGATTTCCTTTGGGATGCAAGTATTTATCGACTGGTTATACACTTGTTCATAGATTCAGTTAAACGTTTATACTAAAGGTACATTTGTGAATGAAGGTGTTATGTCCAAAGGTATCATAGTCTTATCCTTTAAATTAATATCTTTTACTCTGTCTACGAATTCAAGTACATCCTTGACGCTGTTCTACTATCTTATCACGCACAGGTTTGAGAATGTTTACTAACCATTTAGCTGGAGCATTATTATTTATTATTATTGTTCCCTTGGGTTCCTATTGGAACATAGGGCTTCAACTGCACGTCTCCACTTGCTTCTGTCTTCTGCTGCACTTTTTACCTATATCCATGTTAGTCCATACTGTTTCAACTCCTCTTCACGCGATCTCCTCCATGTCACCATTCGAAGTCCCACTCGCCGCTTCCCTTTCGGGTTCCATTCGAGCATTGGCCTGACGCGCAATGTCACCCAACGGCCTCCTCAGCGAGTGTCCAATCCATCTCCACTTTCTCCTGCATATTTGTTGATCGATTGGTTCTTGTTTTGTTTCTTCCCATAGTTTCTTGTTGGCGATTCTTTCCGGCCATCTGATCTTCAGTATAGAGCGAAGACAGCTGTTGATAAAGGTCTGCAACAGGCTGTTGGAAATATTCTTTGTGACCCGTCAAGTTTCTGATCCGTATAGCAAAACTGACTTGACGTTTGTATTAAAAATCCGAATTTTGTTGTTGATGCAGGCTGAGTGACAGTGGAAGATTTCCAGATTTGTTTCAGGTGGACGAATGTGTTTCTCGCCTTCCCGATTCTCGATTTGACATCCTCGTCCGTTCCTCGTGTAGTTGAGACAATGCTCCCTAGATAAGTGAAAGAAGTAACCTCTTTCAAATTCCTCTCGTTAATGGTGATTGGCGCAAGTATCGGTCTTAACAGTACTCCCAGTTTATCTACTTTAAGTAGGCCATACAATCTTGAAATGTACATGCTCATTAGCCTGATTTCTTCATATAAACCTTTGGGAAATATCTGATCCTCCCTTAGTTTCTTCAAATGTCTTGTTAATTCGTTCTCTATTTTGTTAGTGAAATCTTTCTTCTCCTCCTCAAGTTTTTGAAACTTCTATGTGTCTTTCCAGGAAGGCAATTCTCTTTTGGGATTCCTCTTCACACATGTGAATTTCGCAGCAGAATGTACTTCATTGAATTTAGTTATTATTGATTATTTGGCATTAAATAATGTGTTATACATGTACAAAGAATAAATTTTCTCAACAGTGTTCTTCTACTGTGCTTTCTTTTCTTTCAGCTCCTCATATCAAGATTAGTATAATACCTAATTTGCAATGGATAAACACAATTCAATTACCAACTTTTCAATGTATTCTAGATAACTGGATGTATTCAACATTGAACAACTACAGTATTTATTTTATTCGTATTGAAGATACGTATAAATTATTCAATATTCAAGGGAATCAATTAATTCCAAGAAATTTATCTACTAGTACAGTTACAATATTGTATGAGTGTATACTTGAAATCAATGAGCAAGTATACAGGGAATCATTAAATCTTATTTATGAATGTAAGTTATTGCAAATAGTGGAATTTAGTTTAGCCTTTCTAAGAAATATTACTCAGTCCCCAGTACTGATTTTGTTTGATTGGTTGAAGGATTTCATCATGATCTGACATCGATTGGAGGAAGAAGTGGACTTCCTGGTTGGGGTCCTCGGGACGGTAAAAACCAATAGTTGGAAACGATTGGTGACATGGCTCAAAATCGTTCTCAATGGCTAGCGCAGATGATGCCACTCCTTGCGACTTATGATTTCCAATTAAACTGTTTTGTTCATCGATATTACTATTCCTTTGTCTCACACCTCTGTTTACTCTTTATATTATGCATTTCTTCTACTTTCTTCTCTTGCTTTGTGTGCTACAAGGAGGGAGTGTGGCGACTTGAACTTCCGCACATATGTGCAAAGTTCTATGTCGAAAACCGGCTGACCGACCGGTTGGAGAGCCAATGGAAAATCTGCAGGGAATACTGGACAGCCAGGTGATTCCTCAGTATAATTTAGGACCCTTGAGCAATACGCACCCATCCTATTGATACGTTTCATAACAAGCACCTTCAAGTTACAAGGAGAGCTAGTCCATAGACCATTAAGCCAATGGGACTCAATCCAGTGGTCCATGATGAAATCCTGAAACCAATCGGATCCCTGCAAACCAACACTTGAATATCAATCGGATGCTCACTAGTGACTGGCCCAGTTCGTGTGGGAATTCGTGACCAGTGGGGTCTATCTAGTCTTGAACGAGGATAGATACTGGCCAGCGATAACATTGACCGATGTCAGATGCACTATATAGTGAACTGGTTGAAGTTGGAATTTATTGGCTGACCGCTGGATCGGGTCCCAGTGGCCTAATGGTCTACGAAGACGTCTTCTAATCAGAAGATCTTCGGTTCGAAACCTGGCGGACGCGTACTGTGAAAAGTCCCAAACTAGGCCAGCAGAACAGTTGTCCAGCTCATGAAGAAATCCTTCAACCTATACTGATTCACTCACTTGTCATAAGCCTTACAGTTGCAATGATTATTTAACAAAGAAATCATAAGACGACCAATCAGATACTGGAGAAATTTATCCTCTAAATCGTAATACGTAATGTAAGGTGTAGTCTGGACAGGGTGACTAAGTGGAAACTAGAGAAAGGGGCAGAAGTTGGCATGATGTAATAAGTGTGGGAAAATGGCTAATCAATATGGTTGTGTAGAGTTGACAAGAACTACTGGAAAGACGATAAGGTGTTTTTATGTAAAATCTGTATTAAAACGCAATGTTATTCATAAACAGTAATAATAATAACAATAATAATAGCAAACTTATATAATAATAAAAGGGAGCAAAATTATAGTCAGACCGTTATTCTGGCCAAGACATGGTAGTGAGTGAATGTATGTAGTGCTTTTGAATGCAAAGGTCCAGTTTCAGATCCCGAATAGTCAATGATTCAGCTATGTACAGATTGCATATTCTAGGTCCCTTTGTATGATATTGAAGGACTCTGTGAGTCCAATAAATCTCCCCTTCTAGGTTACACCTTACATTGCGCAATATGTTTTTCGAGGACAAATTTTGCCCAGTATCTGATTGGTTGTCTTATGATTTTTTTGTTAAATATATAATTATGATTGTACGGCAGCTTATGAAAATGAATCCTAGAAAAGAAAATTTTCTTCCCTGCTTACGTTTTCTTTTTCTTATAATTTAAATATAATTTAGATAAAGCAATAAGAAGACGTAATTTGTCTGAATCGTGTAATGTATTTGCGCTACACATTTCGAACAATCTGATCACACGCGGACTTGTCATAGAAATATATATGACAATAATAAAGAGTTAAGCGGTGAGAAAATAAACTTAGGTCAACATGAAAGGATACATTGATGGTCGAAATAACAATGAAGACCACTAAACCAAATAACAGAGGTAATATTGCATTTGCTATGGTATCAAAACGAAGTTTACATAGGAAGGTGATTTAGTGTGATGACGAATTGTTGCTATGAACCTATAAAGGTGGTTTAAACTTCCTAATTGCCAGCTAGAGCTTCCACAAACTTTAGGATATGCCCTCCTCCAAACACGTTTCATAGATAGGTTTAAAAGATGTGTTGAAGTCAATTTAATGTCCTGACTCTATATGTTTCGAAATAGAGGAGCTAGGTCTCCTGTTCTCACCATTAATGGGTTCTTGGGATACCATTTGTTTCTGCAGCCATTTAGGAATATGCTCTCAAGCCAGCGCTTACTTCTATTTATGTGTGTTCACATGTATATTCAAATTGGTGAATACAGTGGGATGTGACATCATTTTTCGCATGTCCGAAGGGTTTAGATAGGGATGAGTTGTAGAGTGCGGCTTGGTGTTCTGACTACTTTATATCTCCTGATGAACTTATCTGGATAATTGTTATCAAGCAGAGTTTGTGTCAACTTTCTTTCTGCTTCATCAAGTGTGTCTTCAGTGCATGAGTTGGAAATTTTCTAACAAATTGGGGTTAACACCTCATCAGGAATCGAACCTAGGAAGTTATAGTTACTAGGTGAGCAAAGATTAAAAGGTAATAGTAAAATAAATTAAATAAGAAAAATTTATATCCCTCATTTTGTGAAGAAGTCAGTTTTTTTCTGATATCCTAATGTTATGCATTATATATTATGCATTTTGTTCCCTTACATTCCAAGTGGAACATAGGGCCTCAAAGTATGGCTTTGAAGTTTCAGTACCAGTGGTTGCATTTTCATGGGGTGAAGTTGCTAGCCTCACTTTCAATCTCCCCTTTTTGTCTGCCTTACTTCCTGCTCAGCGGGGCAGAGGAGTGCGTCGGCCGAAGACAAAACCACTGGACATGTGAGGTGTGACTGGCCAGGGTTCTACCGCTGAACCATCGACGTGATATATCCTACTGTATGAAGTGAACGAAACCAGTCCTTGCCACCTGAAGGTAAAGTCTGTTAGTATTCAGACCATTACAAGATAGGTTGGAATTTCTAAAAGAAAATCATTGCTTTCAAGATGACAGATACGCCTTGTTGACCTGTGTCCTAAAGAATTGAAAATAGGTTCGAAGATTTCCAGTGATTATATCCAGTGGTTTAGCACCAATTAATTAAACGTAAGCCTTCTACCTTCCAAGCACTAGACAGCATTAGAGTTCTAAGCCCCTAACAACTTGCCAGTATACACTTTACATCAGAATACAGAAGGAAAATTATTAAAATAAGTGGTGGTTCAATAGTAGAATGTTTGCAAGCGAAGCAAGTGGTCTGGGACTGGTTTTCAACCAACGCACTCCTGAATCTTGCTTATGCTATCATATGTCAGTAAATCTAGAAGAAAATGGTGGTTTGGGAGTCAGTCTGACAACCATAACTCATAAAAACAACATCATCGCTACTGAACCCTGAAAGTCGGAGGCTTGAAGCTTTTGGAACGTAAAACATCAAGCGAAAATTTGCTTCGAGTGTTGGCTTGCTGGGATTTGATTTGTGACAGGATTGATTACGAACTGATGCCAGTTGCAGAACGATTAGAAGACCAGCACTGGTGTACTTCTAGACAGCTGATTCGTCAGGCTAGTTTGGAACTCTTCAGAAGCACACTTCCATCGGGGTTCGAACGCAGGGCCTCCCGGTTACGAGGCAAGGTTGTAGACCATATATGTATGATTGAGTGAGAGATATGATCTTGGAGAATTCCTGTTTACCGGAGCTTATTGTTGTCTATTGTTTTTTTTCTGCTCTATTTTTAAATTTATCCACAGCTCCTCTTGAAATACGACCAAAAGTCTACATGGTACAAATTGAGACCAATACATCAGTTATTTATCATTTATATGTTAGTAATAATGAGACAGTAAAACCTGTTAATTGGTCGTATACAATCCTACAAGTAACACCTGATCTTGATGCTTACATTAACCAAATTGGTTTTGATGGTCAACTAATGATTACACCATTATTTAGACAGTATCGTAAACCAGGCAGTTTAATGCTACAAGTATGGATTAAAAGTGCTTACAATGAGGGATTTATTGAAACAGTACAAAATGTACACTTTCGTGTAC